ATTCTTGCAATTCATAATAACAAGATCTTTCTTTAATTCAACAGGTTGCCATTGATGAGTATGTAAAAGAGAATCATGTATCTCTAATAGTAAATTAATTAATTGGGTATCAATCACTTGAATAACTAATTAGATAAAAGTCATTTATAAGAAAAAATCCTTTTACATACTAGAAAAACGATTCAAATCATCCTCGGTATAATAATTTTTTGCATCTTCAATAAGTTTATTAGCTTGAATTATATCCTTGATTCACAATAATTTATAATTAATTATATATATTTACATGTATGTATACGCGTTTAGAATAAATGATATATGCACGCACCTGTTTTAATCCAAGTTTTTTATTTATTAACTTATTTTTATAATCTTGAAGAGTTTTTAATTTATTTTTATAATCCTCATATTCTGACTCAAAATTTTTTATCGCTACATTCTGTTCATTAATCGCTTCTACCATAGATTCTAATACCGACATTTTTTTTGTATATATTAATATTATATCCACGAGAACAAATCTGTAAACAAAGTCGCTTGATTTTAATGCATTGTGAAGATCTTCAATTTTGGATAAATATCATGTGGAGGAAATAAAATCTGATTAGATTAAGATTTGATTTGATTTGATTTGACTAATAAAACCACCCTGCATTTATTTTTTAGTTAGATTTGTAAAAAATAAATCTTTGATTGGAAAATTTATATTACACTTATTTCAAACGCTACACGTAGCACAATATTTTTATGTAGTAAGAAATTTCTTGACTTGGTATACATTATTATTATCAAATTACCCAAGTTCGTAAACTTTTATCATTTGAGTTAATTGAAAAATACACCATTTTTTTAAAAAACAATGTGTATATTGATGCAACTTCTAATTGTTTTACTTATTTGTATCTTAAAAATATCAAAGCCAGTAAAAGATGGCTTAGTTTTTTATGTAAACGCATCCATCATCAATCAATTTTTAAAACAGATTATTACGTATATTTAAATTGTTTAAATCTTTAATTTTTTAAAAAAATTATTTTTATAAAATTAATAAAAAAAATGGGAAAAAGACTTGACATTCGTGATGGTATTTGTCTTTATAATAAAAATGATCGATTTTACATTATTACTACGATAACATAATATCATTCTAAATAATGAATCCATCAGCACTAAATGAGCTCGATGATAAATGCATCAAACACATAAAGCCATTAATTCAACCTCAAATTTTAATGGAAGACTTTCCACTTACCTTCCAAGCAGCACAAAGCGTCATAGTTGGTCGTTCTGCTGCTGAAAGCATCATAAAAGGTCAATATGACCGACTTCTTGTGATAGTTGGTCCTTGTTCAGTTCATGATGTTCCTGCTGCTCTTGAATACGGTAAATATAAATGATTGGATGTGAATAAATTTTCTTCATGTAATATATAAATAAATATTTATTCATTTATCATCATTATCATAATCATAAATTTAGCAGAAAGATTAAAGGAATATTCAGTTAGTGCAAGTAGTGAATTAGCTATTATCATGCGAGTTTATTTCGAAAAACCAAGAACCACAGTGGGATGGAAAGGACTGATAAATGATCCTGAATTAAACAACAGGTACCTATTATATTTTTGTATATTATATATATATATGTATGGGTGAGAGTGTGAGATTGATAGAGATTGTTCTTTTCTTTTCCAAGTTTTCAAATAAATAAAGGTTTACGAGTTGCACGAAATTTATTATTAGACATAGTAAGTAAATACAACCTTTTTTGGGAAAAATCATTATTTATTTTATTTTAAAAAAAAAAAATCAATTTAACATTTAAATAGAATCAATTGGGAATTCCATGCGGATGTGAATTTCTTGATACGATCACACCACAATACATTGCAGATCTAGTTTCCTGGGGTGCTATTGGTGCAAGAACCACCGAATCACAAGTGCATCGCGAATTAGCTTCAGGTTTATCTGTACCTGTTGGTTTCAAAATGGTAAATACAAGTGTGGTGGAAAGAGAGTGTGTATGTGTGTATGAGTGTATTAATAATAAATATTGATTCTTTTGAAAAATATATATAGGCACTGATGGAAATATAGTTGTAGCTGTTGATGCTATCAAAGCTGCTAGTGCTAAACATAATTTCTTATCAGTCACAAAACAGGGAATAAGTGCAATAGTGGCAACAGAGGTAAGCTCTACAATAAAAATATTGACAAAATGTAACTATTCACTAAATACTAAATAAATCTAATAAATTAGGGAAATGATTGTTGTCATGTAATTTTAAGAGGTGGTGCACTTGGACCTAATTATTCAGCCAAGAATGTAAAAAATGTTGTATCTAAATTAGAGGCTGCAAAACTTACTGCACGTGTAATGATTGACTGCAGTCACGGTAATAGTCAAAAGGTGTTCAGAAAACAAGTAGATGTAGCTAAAGACATTGTGAGTATTGAATGAATATTCTCTCTTGTCATTGTGAATTAATTAATGAATGAATTTATTGATTAATTTTTGTAGGCTGAACAACTTAAAAATTCACATACAGGATTTAATATAATGGGCGTAATGATTGAAAGTAACTTGGTAGAAGGTAGCTGTTAAATATTTTTATTTTTATTTTTATTTTATGATTATTATTATAATAATCCAATAACATAATGACTTACAATAATGATAATAATAATAATATAGGACGTCAAGACCTTCCACCAGATGGAAATGCAAATCTTATTTATGGTCAATCAATAACAGATGCATGTATTGATTGGGAAACTACAGTTCAAGTTTTGGATCTATTACGTGAAGGTGTTCGTGCTAGAAGGGCACGTAATGGTAAAGCTGTAAATGGAATAAATGGAATAGCTAAAACTAAATAATTAAATTAAATAATTAAAATTTTCTTTTTCAATAATATAATTAATCATCAATTAATCAATTTAATTTGTAATTTTTATTTATTAAAAATACAATTTGAAAATTTACTTTTCCGTAAATCAATTGGTTTATTTTATGCGCGATAAACAAGTATTTTTGCATTTATGTGATAAATAATTTTGTTAAAATATTTAAATAATAATAAAATATGTGTGTGTTAAAAATTAAATAACAATTAAGAACATAGTTTAGAAATTTCCTTGGGTTGAATCTTGGTTCGATATTTTGAATATTTTATTTAAACTGCATATATAACCTAGCATTTCATGACCCGATTTAGTGCAAAGTAACTAACTTTGATAAATCTGCACGCAAAAGAAATTACCAAGCCGGAGGCCAAGTCATCAAAATATTTAGTGGATATTGTTAATTTTAAAAATCAATAAAAATGAAAATAATCAATGATTGAATGTTGGGCTTGGTTTCCTTGTTGGATGAGTTTGGTGGGTTCCAGGACATTTTCTACTTCTTTACTTTGCAAATAGTTTTCAATATTGGCTCAAACTTTGGCTAAGTCTTTTTGGAGTTAATTATTTTCTTGTTTGATGTGGACTTGGAATTGGTTGTAGTAGTCTAATTATATCTTCGATTATATATGATTTTGGTGATTACGCTACTGATCATTACTAAGATTTAAAAAAGAGAAAGGTCAGGGCATCTTTTCTTGTCTAAATTCCAAAAAAAAATTAATAATAATTACAATCTTGATTCAGATTCAATATTATATAACAAAAAACATATAATTTTATTTGCCATATGATGGATGAAGGTGTTTAGGTGCTTTTCAATAGAAACACTGAAATAGGATCTGCTATTTTTGAAACTCATTATGCAAAGTATGATTCTAAGCCAAAAATGGTCCCACCTAAAGAATTACATATGAAGGTTCCGTTAATACTATATTAATATTAATTTATTACTACGGTATTATTATAATAAGATAAATTGCACGTAATAACGCACAATTAATAATGTATTATCATCAATATTATATGTATGATAATACATTATGTATAATAACGTATGATAATTGTATCGCGGATTAAAAAATTGAATGTTTCATGTTAATGTTGATATTAATATAATCGTGTAGTTTTCCGCCAATTTGAATTCCCGCGAGAATATTCGGCATCCACCAAAATTAAAATATCCGAAATTAATATTCAATTAAAATAATTTATTCACTGATTCTATTCAACAAAAATGAATTCTATGCTTCTTTAATCAGTCAAAATTGTTGACTATCATGATAAATAAATAAATAAATATGTTTTTAAATAGTCTGTTTTTGGCTGATGTCGAATATTCTCACGGAAATTCAAATTGGCGGATGAATTTTGGCGGAAAACTACACGATTATCATGGTGATGCTACTATGATTCTAGTATAACATCATAATATTATGTATATTTTTTTAAAATTTTTAATGCGGTTTATGTCTAAAGATTAAAAAGTGAAATTTCTTTTAAAAATTCTCGAGAGCAATGTACAGTATTATTATTTTTATTATATATAAATAAAATTTTATTTAGTGCAGTAGTGTATAACTTAATTGTTCAAAATTTTGTTTTCTCGATTTAGCGGATAAATTTCCTGGTACAAACATGTACGTTAAATCAACTCACTGTGTATTATTTATTAGTATTGGTATTATATAAATCATACATATTAAATCTTAAAAAAATTAATTAATAATTAACTTACTTGATTTATTAATGTTTGTCTATTAACCAAATCGTAATATAAACCCCTCTGAGATATCAATTCTAAATGTTTACCACTTTCCACAATTTTACCTTTCTTACATACCAATATTAAATCAGCATTCTGTATTGTTGATAATCTGTGTGCGATGGTTAAGGTCGTACGGCCTTGACTTGCTTTATCTAATGCATCTTGAACAATTTTTTCACTTTCCGAATCTAAAGCTGATGTTGCTTCGTCAAGTAACAACAATTTTGGAGATCGGATCAATGCTCTTGCGATTGCAATTCTTTGTTTTTGCCCGCCGCTTAATTGTGTTCCTTTTTCTCCAGCTTTTGTGTCATATTTATCTGGCAAACTCATAATGAAATCATGTATGTTAGCACCTTTTGCTGCATTTTCAATCTCATCTTGCGTTGCACCTTCTTTGCCATATGCGACATTTTCTCCAATAGTTAAATCAAATAATATGGGTTCTTGTCCAACTAGGGCCAAATTGGATCTCAAGTATTCTAAATTCCAAGTTTTGATGTCAACCTTTTCAACTTCAATAGATCCTGAATTGACATCATAAAACCTCAACAACAATGATACAACTGTTGATTTACCACTCCCAGAAGATCCTACCAAAGCTATTTTTTTCTCTGCGTCAATTGACATATCTAAACCTTTTAATATTTTTATGTCTGGTCTCGCTGGATAATTAAAATGCACATCTTTAATTGTTGATTCTCCTGTAACAGGCGTTGGGCGATCTTTACCCTCGTTACCAGTTGCATCAATTTTTGATTTACGATCAATTATTTCGAATATTGAGATGGCTGCTACTTTGGCATTTGCAGTATTTGGTGCAAAAGAACTCATTTGACCAACAGCAACAGAAGAAAAAATAACAACGAATAAAACTCTAAGCATTGATTGTGTAGTATATTCTCCGCTAATGATCAATCTTGAACCGTACCAAAAAGCCAATGACCAAATGAAATATACGAAACCCTGTGACGCACCAAATCCAAAACCAACAAGTATTGAGCCTCTAATAGCAATTTTATGTGGTTCTTCAAGTGCTTCAATAAACTTATTTTTAAATGTCTCTTCTCTTGTCAAAGATGCTATAGTCCTCATGTTAGATACACTTTGTTGTACAATTTGTCCTGTTGATTCATAAGCTTTACGTGTCTAATCATATACACAAATAGAATGGAAATTATTAATAATTTAGTGTTAATTTAAAATACTAGATGTAAAAATAATGACGATGATAATAAACAATGTTAATTACCTTTGTACCAAGTCCCGCAAGAGCTTTAAATTCCAAGTAACCAGCAATTACAGCAACTGGTGAGGCGGCTAAAATTACTAATGTAAGCTTCCAACCAAAATAAAATGCGATTCCCTTTGAAAGCAAAATAATAATATATAATACTGAATCAATTAATCAATAATAAATTATATCCCCCCCAAAAAAATATAAAATAAAAATACTTACTAAACCAAAAATCAAATTAGTGGTGTTCATTATTATACTGCCCATCAAATTACCAGCTAAACCTTCGACTTTTGAAGCATCAACAGCTAATTTAGAAGTTAAAACACCGGTTCCATTTTTTATATCATCGAAAAAGGCAACTTCTTGTTTGACAAGTGATGTAAATGTCATGGTACGTAGACGTTTTGTCAATCTTTCAGCTGATAATGAAAATGATGTTACTTGAATAAAGTTTGCTAGTCCAGATACTAATGCAATGACTCCAAACATTGCTGCCCAAAAATTTGCTCTACTCCTAAGTCCATCAGGACTAAATATAAAATATATCAATGTTATTTAGTTAAAATCGCTTTTTTTTAACAAAAAAAAAAAAATATATATATATATATTATTTATCTATCAACTTACTCATCAGTTCTAGAAAATACTTCCAAGATTGAAGAAAACACCAAGGCAAATAAAGGCATGACTGATCCAGTAACTACAGCACCAATACCACCGGGAGCTATTAAGTACCATTCTGGTTTATTTAAATTAAATACTCTGCCTAAAGGTGTTTTTTGTTTTAATTTTTCTAATCTAACTTTTTCGACTTCTTCGTCAGTAAGTTTAATTGATTTAGTGATGGATCCTTTGGTCGTAAGACGTTTCAGATTTAATTTATTTGACTTATCATCAATTATAACAGAAGTCTCATCTTCTTCTATTAATTGAGTACTCAAATCTTCACTATCTTCATCATCTTCAATTTCACCTTTCATATCTTTTTTTTCTTTATGATGACCTTTTTTTAATTCTTGAGCCTTAACTAATCCATAATACAGTCCACCTCTTTCAATCAATTCGTCATGCTTGCCAATTTCTTTAATTTCGCCTTTTGACATTACGACGATTTTATCAGCATTTTTGATTGTTGACAAACGATGAGCTATAACAATTGTAGTACGGTTTGTTGAGGCTTTATCAAGTGCTTCTTGTACAAGTCCTTCAGATTCAGTGTCAAGAGCAGAAGTGGCTTCATCAAGTAAAAGAATAGGAGGGTCTTTGATCAAAGCTCTTGCAATTGCAATTCTTTGTTTTTGACCACCTGAGATCAAAGAACCTTTTTCACCGACCAAGGTATTATATTTATCGGGTAATTCATCAATGAAATCATGAGCATTTGATCTCTTACAAATTTCAATTATTTCATCTAGGCTGGGTTCTTTAACATCATCAGGATCAGCACCCCAAATGATATTTTGTTTGATAGTTTCTGGAAACAAAACAGGTTCTTGACCAACCATACCAATTTGAGTTCTTAACGATTTGATATTTATATCTTTGATGTTGATGCCGTCTAATAAAATTTCACCCTCCAACGGATCATAAAATCTTTCAATTAGGCTGACTATAGTTGATTTTCCTGAGCCAGATGAACCAACCAAAGCAACAGTTTGACCAGGTTCAATCGTTAAATTAAAATCTTTTAAAACTTGTACATCGGGTCTTGATGGATAAGAAAAATTGATATTTTTAAATTCGATGAAACCTTTAAACTCAGATTTGGCAAATTTTTTGCCTTTATCGGCAGATGAATCGATCATTGGTACTCTATCTATTATTTTGTAGATTTTTGCAGCTGCACCAAGTGCATTGCTAACTGATGAGAGATATGGAGCTGCATTACCAATTGAAAATGCTAAAAAGAAGCCATATAAATATAGATTATTAAAATGATATTTAAAATATGATTTTATAAATTAAATAATATATATTTATATAACTTACCACCAATCATAACAGCAAAAAATGCATTTAAAATATCACCACCATTTTCTTCGCCATTAACGATCAAAATACTACCATACCAAAAAGCTAAGCCATAACTACCAAACATTGCAATTAACATGAAACCCATTCCTAAGCCATTCACAATTGACTTTCTTTTACCAAATTTATATGCTATTTCAAGTTTTGAGATGTAACGTTGTATTTCACGCTGTTCACCACCAAATGCCACTACTGTTCTAATCCCGGATAATACTTGTTCTGCAACACCACCTGCTGCAGCATATGCGTCTAAATGTGAAAAATGAACGTTTAATTTCATTTATTAATTCATATAAACATATAAAGTTGTTATTACATATATATTGATGATTTTTGTTTTACCTTGACCTTCTGATGCATCGCTAGATAAAGATTTTGATATGACAACACCAGAAATTGCAAGAAGTGGAAGTACAGAACAAAGCACGAGTGTTAATTTCCATACTATAAAAAAGATCAAAAGATTAAACTTCTTTATCTTTGTTTCTTCTTTTTTATATTATTATTATTTACCTTTAACTAAAGCAACAATAAAACCTCCAATGAAACAAGTGAATTGTTGAATTATGAATCCTACTTTTTCAGACATGCCTTCTTGTAATATACTAATATCACCTGAAACACGTGTAGTTATATCACCAGTTGA